GGGGGGGCAGGCCACGTGTGGAGCCCTGCTGCGTCGTCTTCCCCCTGCCCCCTTCGTGTCGTGCAGAACCGGGGTCCCTGGGGGCTCTGTGCTGCTTTGGGGGTGTGCTGTTGGGCAGGGAGATGGCAGAGAGGAGGATGGGGACAGCTGGAGTTGTTGTCCCTTGTGGCACGTGCCAGCCTGGCCCTGAGCGGCATCCCTGCTGCGCGGAGAGGGTTGACGGCGGTGCAGCTAATGGCTTGAGAAGGAAGGTGATGGCCCGGCACAGGGGGCTAATGGTGCTTTGTCCACCGGCTTTCCACCTGCGGTGTCCTCTTGATAGATGGCTTTTCCTCCAGCAGCTCCCTGCAGCCTGGCCCTGGAGGGCCGGGGCAGGTCTGAGAGGGCCCATTGTGTGCCCGTGCTGTGGATGCTCTATGGCTGCCTGCCATGAAAGTCCTTTTGGGCAAGAATAGGCACTATTGTTCTCCAGGAGGGCTTTCTACTTTCCCTGTCCGGTGTATCAACGTGCTTGATTTCCTCTCCCTGGAGTGAGGTGTTCTGGCTACTTGGAAGAGCTGACTTGAGCCTTTCTCCTCTCTAATCATGGCAGAGGAAGTGAGTGCGGAGCCTGGGATGACTGGAAGTCCTGCAAGCCTTGGGTGGGTGGACTGGCGACTTGTGGATTAGTCCAAAGTACACTGGGCTGCGTGCCCTCTGTGCCAGGGTCAGGCAAGGTCCTCTCCCTGGTGGTGAGGGAGGGCTGAGCTTTGGTCTGGCCCTGTCCCCTGGCTTGACGTAGCCCATGGAGGCTGCTCAACTTCCCTCCTGGCTGAGAAGCCCTTTGAGCTTCTGCACATGAGAAGAAGGCTTTACCCTTGAAACAGTCAAGGATGGGAGATGCATAAGGTTATTTCTGGCTGCCTTTGGTGGTCCCTTGGTGTTACAGGTGGAGAAATCAAAGCTGAGCAAGATGACCCAGAGACAGCTGCGGGCATACCTAGCCCTTGCATTAACTGGTCAATAAAAAGTGCCAGTACGCTCCTCCTAGGCAAGGCTAAGAGACTAGCTGAGGTGAAGTTTATTTTAGGTCACTAAAGAGGGAATTAGATGATTGGAAATCAGGAGGTGCTGTGGCAAGAGCACTTGGCTGGCTTTAAACAGCACATTTTAAAGACTCCTCCTCAGCCATGAAACTTCCTCCTTTGCTGAGGAGAAGTGCAGATGGGTCTAAAATATCCCTGTAGCCAGGGCAGCAGTGAACATTGGGTCAAGGAGGAAGGAAGTGTGTTGTGCTTACTGCTGCAGTTTTGCCTGCTTTAGAGCTGTCCTCCAGCATCTCCCTGGTACCAGGTGGACGCATGATCCTTCAGCTTGTAGGAGCTGTAGGACTGAGGCTGGGAAGCTGTGCTTCCCAGGATCCTGTGCAAATGTGCCAGCCCTGCACCCTAGGGCTGAGCTGAGGGACAGGCTGGCATCCTCTCCCCTAAGTCGCCCTAAGTTTTCACAGGCTCCCTCCATGGGTGAGGTTTGGATGACGAAAATGAAACAAGCCGCATAACTCTGCAGCTGATGGAGGCAGGAGCTGCTTGTGTGTCCTTGCTGCCTTGCATGTTGGCTCAGTGCTAGGAGAGGGGATTCTAGCAGCTAGAAATCAAGCTGCTAACCACACGCATATCAGCTGCCTGCAGATATCGAGAAGCCACTGTGCTGTAGCGGCTCTGGGCAGTGAACCCCACGCTGCTGTGCTTTGCTGGCCCTGCCAGCTCTCTGCCTGGCAGCTCAGTGCCTCCCCCCTGCGTGGGTGAGGTGGGGGAGTGTGCTGTGACCAGCTGTACAACAGGGGCTCACACCTCCCTGTGATGCAGAGCTGATACACAAGCTTGGGTGGATATCCTGGCTGGAGCTAGGAATGGGGGAAGGAGGGAGTTTCCCGAGCCCTGGGGCTGCAAAACATTAACTATTCCTAATAAAAAGTAATCCCACAGTCTAGGTTGCTATCAGGCTTAATCTCGTTGCCTCATCCCAACAATAAGTCCCTTCCCAGCCCTGTTATCCTGGCTGGTTTCTACCACAGAGCTCTTGCTGTGGGATAGGGGTCTTTGGCAGGCAATGTCCTGAGTGCACACGTGCTGCTGAAAGACATCTGAGTCTTCCTACTACTGAATTCCTCCAGCCTGAAGCGCTCCTTTGGGACCCCTTCTTGGCTCTTCCCTCTTCCTGGGGAATGGCAATCACATTGTTCAGCCTCGTGCATCAAGGTGGCAGGTCTAATCCAGCACAGATTAGTTTCAACCTCATTTTACCCTCCTTTAATGCGCAGAGCTGCGGGGAAGGAATTCAGCCTGCTGGAGAACAGGTGCCTGCTTCTCAAACCCAGGGCAGGCGCGAGCATCCCTCAGCCCCTTCCCAGCCTCAGCGGCGTGGCTGGCATCAGGTGCTTAAACAGCAATGTGAGAGCCTGGCCTGCCAGTGGGAGCCTTCCTCTAGGGACTGAGGAAGGATCTGGCTTTGCTCAGGTTGTCTTGCAGGTAGCTGGGACTTGTTTTACCAAATGTATTGGTCTGCAAAAGTCTCTTTGCCCAATAAAGGCTCTGTTCAGGGCAGGAGCAGGGGAGACACTGGGGCTTACTAGGCTGCTCTTATTAATAGTATGTGCCCCTTGAAGTTAGAGCTTTAGCAAAGGGCTCTGGGAGGACCTTTAGCTGCTTGAGCTGAATCTGAGTCACTGGGCCCTGGGGACTGAATTCCTCTGCACTATTGTGAGTGTGTTTGCCTTATCGCAGTCTCGGAGAAACTTGTATACAATGTCGAGGGTGGAATGCCTTTGAAATGAAAACCCCTGTTGCGCCCTTCAGTCTGGAGCAGACCCGTGACACTGGGCTGCTGAGTTCCCCACCGGATGAAATGCAAGGGGACTGGGTGCTGGGGGTGTGCCCAGTTTAGCTCATCCTGCTCTTGTGCCATCCTGCCAAGGGCTGTTAGAGCCCCAAAGCACCGGTCCCTGGCAGCTGTCCTCTGGATGCAGCCTCTAGCTATAGCCGTCCTTCTATTTTCACTCTTTCTGTGCTGCTTCTTGCACGTGGAGAAATACTGCTCTCTACTCTTGCAGCCTCTCCCCTGCTAGTAGATGCAAGTTATCCAC